GAGAGAGAGAGAGAGAGAGAGAGAGAGAGAGAGAGAGAGAGAGAGAGGAAGAGAAAGAAGGCTTCTGGGCAGCCAGACCCCTTCAAGCTCGAAATATCAGGGAGAATAGCTTTCTGAGTTTGCTAGACGCCAAAGCCAACCTGAACCCTACATCTTTGGAAAGGGGTGGGACAGGACAGATAGACAAGCGAGCAGCAGTAAGATCTGGCTGAGCCCCCTCCTCCCACCACGGCTCGCTCGCGTCCTCGCAGCGCGTGACCGCGGCACTGCGGCTGCAGAGCCGCCATCCCCTGTCCGCGCTGGATTCCTGGGGTGTGAGGTGGGAAGCCGGAGATGGGGGTGGGTGCAGGACCAGATCTTCGTGGCCACGCGCGGCGGCACAGGGGGTGGATGATGACGCCCGTGTTTCCTCCAATTCCTCTAGTTTTTTGTTTCCGGGAGTTTCTCCACCCGCGAGTGTGTCGCTGAGTCACCTTCTGGGAAGGCTTGGGTCAGGCTGTCCCGGGGCGGTGCAGAGCCAAGGTACATATTGCAGAGACGCGTGCGGAACCGCAGGTTCAGCCTGCGTCCCCTGGCCAGCCGGGGACCCCTAAAATAGTGAGAAACTCGGTTGGGAACTCAGAAGTCCCCTGGGAGAAAAGGCACCTTCAAGGCGTGACCCAGTTCACTGCAGCGCTTTGTTATCTGCTCCCCTGCTCCTCCGGAACTCGCCCCTTCTGGACTTGAAGAAGGCGATGCAAAGAGAGAGGTGTGTGGGGTCGCGCGGGGGCCGGCGTGGGCGTGAGAGCCCTCCGCATCTGGAGCCGGACCATCGCAACTTCCTTTCTCCACGGGTCTGGTGTCTGTTTTGGTCCTGCCTGGGTAGGTCACCGAGTCGGACTTGGGAGCTTCATTTTCCCAGTCTCCGCGAATAATCTTCCAGAAATTTAACTCGGGTTATTTATGGACTCCCTTAAGTCATTTGCCGTGAAATATATCACTTACACAACGACCCATGCGTCCTGTTAATCTCCACCGAAGCGCATACTCCCGGGCACGAGCTTCTTCACCAGGAACTTGCCCGAGGGGGTGGGAAGCGGTGGGACCACGCCCCCATCCTTGCCCCTCCAATCCTGATGAGAGCCCCCCAGTGCTCCTGTCCACGCTGTTGGGTTTCTCCAGTTGGTGAGGATCGTGGATCCAGATCATCCGCTGCAGGCAGCTGCCCAGGCCTCGACAGTATTCCCTGGGGGAAAGGCTCCAACTTTGGAGGTTGCTGAGGAGGCTCCCTCCTCCGGACTTCGTGCTCCAGCTCGGAGTCCCCAAACCGGTTCAGCTTTCTCCCGGAAGGCATGACAAACTGCTTCGGGTTCGGCGGCTGAGTGGTCCAGCGGCTGCGTCTGGAAGCTAAAAGTAAATCCACTACGGAGGAACAGGGGAGCAAGAGAAGCTTGCGGGTGGCGGTGGCGGGTGACCCGACCTGGCCCAGAGTTAGGACAGCAGGAAGGATCTGGGTGTGTAATTCTCTGATCAGGCTGTGACTAGGCGATGCCAAAGAGGCCCTGCCTCCCTACTGTGAGCAACGGTTGAGGTGCAGCCCAGGGTCCTCAGCGAGAGCGCAGAATCACGCGTACCCGAGGCCCACTCGGATGCTGGGCGCGGGGATTTGGGCTGCGCCCTCCCTTTCGCGCTGCTTAAAGCCGTGCTCGGAACTCCACGCCTCGCTGGTTTCCTGAGCTGTTCCTCCAGCTTGTCCTCGACAGAGGTGCACAATTGAGTCCAGGGATCCAGTCCTCCACCCCCAACATCTACATGTGGCCGAGCCACGGGCGGTGGCGACCGTGTTGCGGGCGGCACTGTGATGATCCCGGGCGGGTGGGGGACCAGGGCGGCGCGCTGCGCTGGTTCCACCCAGGAGAGCCCAAGGCACGCGGGGCGTGGCTAGGCTGGCGCAGAGACTCAGCGCCCTCCCCGCGCCGCTGCCAAGTTGAGCGAAGAGTTTGAGCAGGAGGGGAAAGATCTCTGGGAGTCGATGCCAACCCTGTGCTTCAGTTGTCCCTCAGTCGCGAGGTTGAGCCCGGAGGAGCTGCTTTCCGCCACAGGCCGCTAGAGGGATCGACTGGGTAGGGACGTCCCCCCACACCCCCGCCCTCCCGTAGTTGGCGGTGCCTTCGTGGGCCCTCCAGGGAGACCGCCACATGCCTGTGCCCTCAGTGCACACTTGTGCTGGGGCAGAGCAGAAGGCAGCCGTGGGTCCATCCAGCTCGGGCTGGCTCCTGCGGGACCTGGGCACTGTTCTCACGAGCGCAGCGTGCACCCCTTTTGGAGACTCGGAGACCCAGAGGCTTCGGAGTTCAGGCGGGGGACGCGGCGACTGGGCCAGAGTGAGCGCTTCGCAATGCCAGTTCTGGGAATTTTTGCAACGGGACTATCCACCAACCCCAAGGGGTGAAGAGCTGGCCTGACGAAGGGAGCCACGGGTCACTGAGTCATTCGTCGGCTGGAATCCAGAGTCCCCTGGAACGGAACGTTCGTGGGGTGGGAGATCCGTTTGGAAAGCTTGATTCTGGACGCATGGGGCTCTGTGATTCCGTAGCATGCAGCTCCCTCTGCGAGGTCTAGGTGCTCTCTGGCTGGGCACCCTGCCCCACATGCATAGAGCCCAGACAGGAACCCCACCAACCCTGTCTCCTCCTGTTCCTCAGATCTGGCCGCCTCGGGGAATGACGGGGCCACTCCCACGGCCCAGGGAGGTGGAGAGGGCGAGCCCCACAACCAGTCGTCAGACACCCTCCTGGGCAACACCGATAAGGAGCTGAATACAGGAGTCGCTGTCACCCCTAGCAGCGCCGGGACAGCGCCGGTGGCCCCTTGTCAACGGGAGCCCTGGGACCTGGCTATGGAACCAGGTTTGTGGGGTACCTGTCTGGGACAAAGCTGAAGGAAGGGATGGATCACTTTGATCAATAAATAAATGATGGACCATAGAAAGCCTAGGGTCGCTCGAGAGAAGCATTTTATCCCACAAGGCCAGAAGTCGTCTGGCCCTGAGCCAAAGAAAGAGGTATCGCGGTGTCCCACTCCGGGACAACCTGTGGGAGGCCGCTTCCTGTAACAGGGCTGTTACCCAAGTATTGGGCTCCTCCGGTCATGTTACTGCAGCTCTTCCGCCCTCTGGCGGCTGGTTGGGGACATTGCCTTTCTTCTTTTCTTCCTTTCTTTCCTTCTTTTTCTTCCCTTCTTTCCTTCCTTCTTCCCCTCTCCCTCTTCCTTATTTCTCCCTCTTTCTTCTTTCTTTCCCTCTCCCTCCCTTCTTTTCCTCATTCCTTCTCTCTCTCTCTCTCTCTCTCTCTCGCTCTCTCTGGTTTTTCGAGACAGGTTTCTCTATGTAACACTGGCCATTCTGGAACTCACTCTATAGATCAGCATCAGGCTGGCCTTGAACTCAGTGATTCATCTGCCTCTGCCTCCCGAGTACTGCGATTAAAGGTGTGCGTCCCCACCGCCAGGCTATTTTTGTTTAAAAGTTTTATTTTTTATGTGTATGAGTGTTTTGATAGCATGTGTGCATGTATGTATGTGTGTGTGCCTATATGTGTGTTTGGTGCCTTTGAAGGTCAGAAAAGAGGGTAGGATCCCCTGGGACTGGAGTTTGGGGCCATTGTGAATCACCCACCATCCAGGCGCTGGAACCGAACCTGGATCCTCAGCCAGTGCTTCTAATTCCTGAGTCCTCTCTGCAGCCCCGCCTGGTTTGTTTTGTATAGCAGGCTGCCCTAGGGGATTGCTCCCACGGCCGTGCAGAGTGCTGGTGCTGCTGAACCCCCGGAGCGGCAAGGGCAAGGCTTTGCAGCTCTTCCAGAGATTCGTACAACCCCTCCTGGAGGAGGCTGAAGTATCCTTCAAACTTACACTCACGGGTGAGTACTGTCCCCAGGGGGTGAAGGGAGCATTTTCTGCCAGAAAGCCAGCTCTGAGCGCATCAAATCCTCCCCCAGAACGGCAGAACCATGCCAGGGAGCTGGTGTGTGCAGAGGAACTGGGCCACTGGGATGCCCTGGTGGTCATGTCCGGCGATGGTCTGATGCATGAGGTAAGAACTGAGCTGGGGGATGGCCCAGGGGGTTTGGGATAGTTTCCTGGACTGAGGCCACTCTGCTTTAACAGGTGGTGAATGGGCTGATGTCACGGCCTGACTGGGAGATTGCCATCCAGAAGCCCCTGTGTAGCCTCCCCGGAGGGTCTGGCAACGCGCTGGCGGCTTCCATGAACTACTATGCTGGGTAACAGTTGAGGGTCCAAGCAGGCCATGTCCCCTACCACCACGTTTTCCAAGTTCCTGTGGGAAGCTCCACTGTCTCTTCTGGAGCTGCATCCACTAACTCCCCAGGTCCCACTCCCTCAAAAGGTCTAAAGGGGGATGCATGAGCGCTCCTGCCCCATTCCACCTGAACTTTAACCTTGCAGGTATGAGCAGGCGACTAGTGAAACCCTCCTGACCAACTGCACGCTGCTTTTATGCCGCCGCCACCTGTCGCCCATGAATCTGTTGTCACTGCACACTGCTTCCGGACTGCAGCTCTATTCTGTGCTCAGCTTGTCCTGGGGCTTCGTTGCTGATGTGGACCTGGAGACTGAGAAGTACAGGCGCTTGGGGGAGATCCGTTTCACGATGGGGACCATCTTTCGCCTAGCAACCCTGCGAATCTACCAGGGCCAACTGGCCTACCTTCCTGTAGGAAATGCTGCCTCTGAGATGCCTGCCTCTCCGGCACAGGCGCAGAAAGGCCCTGTGGACACATACCTTGTTCCCCTGGAGGAGCCGGTGCCTTCTCACTGGACCGTGGTGCCAGAACAGGATTTCGTTCTGGTGCTGGTACTGCTACATACCCACCTGAGCACCGAGATGTTCGCGGCACCCATGGGCCGTTGTGAGGCTGGCGTTATGCATCTGTTCTATGTGCGTGCGGGGGTGTCAAGGTCCACGCTACTGCGCCTCTTCCTGGCCATGCAGAAGGGCAGGCATATGGAGTATAACTGCCCATACTTGGTGCACGTGCCTGTGGTTGCCTTCCGCCTGGAGCCCAAGAACCAGAGGGGCGTGTTTTCTGTGGATGGGGAGTTGATGGTATGTGAAGCTGTGCAGGGCCAAGTGCACCCAAACTATTTTTGGATGGTTTGTGGCAGCAGAGAAGCCCCGTCCAGCTGGGAGCCCCAGCAGAGGTCATCTCCAGAAAAACCATTATGATTCCCCGGTTCTCTGTGCCTTTGTCTACACTGAGATGGGACCCTCTCCTGCATCCATCCCCTCATATGGGAGGCTATCTAAAGCTCACGTGGAGGTGGTAGGGACCTTGTAGAGAAAAGTAGGAAGGTGGGGCTGTAAGAAAGGCTCTGCCCCCTAAATGCTATAATGTGAAGCTGGGCGGGCGCCCTCTGGCTGGGCAGTTGCATATAGAAGGCACTCACCATTGTGCTTGGAGCCCTTCTCTGCGGAATCAAATCCAAATAAAGTGACTTTTCCAATCTGCTGATCCTGTCCTAGGACTGGGAAGAGAATGTGGTTTTACACTAGCAAGGGCTATGAAATTATACTGAGGACTGAAGCCAGGGTCTCTGGCATGCTATGCAAGCACACGATCAGTTATAGGCCCATGGCGCAGTTATGCTGGTGCTGGGCACATGGACTCCTTAGGGACCGATAATCAGACTCCCTTCAGCTGCGGAGGCCCTCAGAGCCTGGCCAGCTGCCCCACCCCCACATGGGAAGACTGAGGCTCTGCCCTCAGATCCAGTTGGCACTGAGTGGACTGAGCAAGGCTTCATTCCTGTGTTACAAATCTCGGGGAGACAGGCAAACAGGAGGCAAATCCTGTTGAATGTGGGTGATCACCTGGGCCTGTGTACTAGGCACTGCCAAAAGAGACACTGGTATCTCCTCCTGGCCACTTCTATATAATTCTGCCCTAATTTCAACTGGTCTTGGGGAGCACTAGAGCATGAGATGGGGTGGGAGGGAAGTGGGGACATCCCATCCACGTGGCTCCAGGGACACCATTACCTGTGCTGGGTGGACTTCTAGTGACTGCTTTGGAGTCCCCTCTGCTCTAAAACCTCTGCGACTAAACCCTCACCCATGTGGACCCGAACTTCGTTGTCAGGACCTGGAGACTCGCTAATCTCTCTCCAGGGAAGAGATTCTGACAAAACATTTCAAACTGAAAAACAGGCAGTAGTCACACCATGACATCTTCTCGGCCCTCACAACCTGTCTTTTAACAGTTCTAGGCAGGAATAGAGAGGAAGCAGCAGGAAAGTGGTAGATGCCACCTCCCCCAAACTAGGGCACCATTCCAGCTTGCAGACCAGAACAGTGACACCTGCCCATCGCTAGATTCTGTGACGCCAGTTCCCCCAGAATCTGGAACTCAGCACACTGGTGTCCACTACCCAGTGTCGAGCTGACTGCCATCAGGACACTCAACTGTCCACCCCACAGACCCCATGACTGGAGATGAAGGGTCCACTGCCAGACCCCCTTGAGGAAATGGCATGGGAGGGTGGTTTCTGGCCCATAGAAAGCAACAGAGCCTGAACGAATGGCAGAGGCAGGTTTAATGGTGTCACCTTGTCTTGTTAATGAGCCAGCCCCCCAAAAAATGCAAGTAAAAAAAAGTTTAATCACACAGCACTTTATACAGATATTGTAAGCAGCGGGCATTCACATCTCCACACGAATGATGCCCCGGGATGCACAGCCCCACCCGGCACTCGTGATGTCCGTGAGGCACCAACAGGTTCCTGCTGAGTGTTCCAGTTTCTGGTTGGCGGTCCTGGCACAGCACAGGCATGGAGCCCACTTAAGGCTGACAAGACGCATCATGCTTTGGCTTTTTTTTTTTTGCCTGTTTTACTTTTTATTTGTCTTTTTTTCTAGTAAGAGTTAGTATCTTTGCTTTTGAGATTATTTTCCCAACCTTAAATATTACATACATACACCAGAAATAACATAGCTGCAATTTGCTCAACAGCATCCTCTCTATCTGGAGCTTCACATTATCAAAAGCTTAGAAACTTGTAAACCTCTGGGCCTGTAGGGGTGGGGGGAAGCTCCTGCTGCCATCCAGCCTCCCTCCTCCCTCAGACTGCGCCTGCAGAGTCTATAAGCTAAGGCTGACTGACAGGAGCCGCTGGATGGGGAGAGGCCCTTGTTGCTGGCCTGGTTTGTGCAGATGCCCTGTGGTCTCAGCAGGGACAAAACGGGGCTAGATGGAGTAGATGTCAGTACCGTCCACACAAGCAGCACTGGATAGGGTTGCCAGTGTCGCTGCCAGCCCGGACTGGAAGAGCAAGGCACCTACAGCCATTTCCTTCCCAGCAGCACCCTGTCCTTGACTCCATATTTGTATGTGAGGGCTACCACCTCTCTTGGGTATTACTTTGAACCTTAGCTCAGTCCCAACCTCTCTTAGAGAGGAAGTTCAACAGGCCTAAGGGCTATAACGCACTGACAGGCCAAAGTCAGCCACAGCTCCAAGAGATGGAGGACCCAGTGTGGCAGCAGTATCTGGGGTGTGGGGAGGCTACAGTCAAGCTCAAGAGGAAAGGGACCAGGAGCATTGCAGGAGCAGCCACACGTCATGCAAGGCACGTCCACCCTCCTGCCACCTGTAGGTTCCTCAACACCCCACCTCTGACCTGAGAAGGGACAGCTAGGGAACAAGTGTCAGGACATTCGGCTGGAGCAACAAGAGGACCAGCAATGGAGGTCCCAGTGCTTCAGGGACCTGCCTTTGAACATGGCTGAGGGACAGAATGCAGCATCTCCCGTCTCGGGACACTTCTTGCACTTCATCAAACTTGCCGCAGGGAGGAGGGAAGTGGAAGGCTCCAACTGGGGACAGAAGGGGCAGGGAGAGGGGCAAGTTCTCGGGAAGGGAGGGAGCAGGCAGCGGCTGGCCTCTCCCACCGTGATACTCCTTTTTCAAGACCTGGAAGCTACTTGTCCTCTGTGCTCTCGGGCATGCCTGCCTCGAGGAGGGCAGCGCGGAACTGTGTCAGGACCCCCCGGATGCTCTTGATGAAGCCCTTGGAAAGCGGGAAGAGGGGGAAGCCGATGTCAGGGTAGCCACTCTTCTCAGGCAGGAAGCTGCGGTAGCTCTTCCTCCTCCTCTTTGGTCTAACGCTTGGCGGTGCTGATGCATCAGGGGCTGTCTCAGTCTGCCCCGTGTGGTCCCTGCTGGCTGAGGCTGGGCCCTGGGCACCACTCTCCGAGTCTGAGCCCTGGGAGGCCTCCCCAGGGGCCACCCCCACATCCTCAGGCTCTTCGCGGCCGGAGTCTGAGAGTTCAGCTACAGCCAGGGGCTCCAGAGAGCTGCTGTCTTTAGGGACCCCATTGGGCAGTGCCTGGGCCCTCTCCAGCATGGCGTGCGTTTCCAGCCAGGATTCAATGCGGTTCACCAGACGCCAGCCACCCACACTGAAATGCTGTCGAATCTCCTGCTCAAAGACCTCAGGAGGCCGTCGGACCAATTGGGTCATGGACTGTACCACGCGGATCAATGCCATCTCATTGTAGCAGCGACTGTTCTCGTAGCCTTCCTGCAGGCCCCGATCACTGTCAAAGCCAGCTTCGTTATAGTACGGTTCATTTACCAGGATCAGACCTGTCAGAAAGAGTCCAGTTAGTAGGCAAACACACGAGGGCAGGCTGGGGGACGCCCGTCGGTGTGCCTGCCAGCCCGTCGTACCTTGAATAGAGATGAGCACCTGCAGAAGGCTGGATTTGCTGGTCCACCTCTCTGTCCCCTGAAACACAAATGAAACCTTCAGGTCTGTCCCAGGTGGACATCAGCCCCACTGTGCCACCATCTCCACTGGGGCCCATCCTCACCTTTCCAATCCAGGTACCCAGGAGGCTGACGCACACCTTCCCATTGTCATACAGGTTGGGGTTCAGGCGGCCACTGCACTGGGAGAGGTAGCAAAAGTGGGGGGGCACCGCTGGGTAGATGTTGGGAAGTTGAATGTCAAACAGGTAGAGGCCATCTTCGTAGGGAGTCCGAGTGGGGCCCTTGATCAGTGCTGAGAAGAGGTCCTGGAGGAAACAGACAAGGGCTGGCTGGTGTCTGGAGTCTGGCCTCGCTTCCTCCCAGAGCACTGTGCAGACAGGGCAGGGAGGAGGCAGAACTCCAGAGTCACAGCCATGGAGACAGCTAACCCAAATGTCTGCTTTTAGTTCTGGGGGCAGAGGTGTAGTCACACAGCTGGAAGGAAGGTACTGGGGGTCTGAGCTCAATGGCAAGGACTGGCAGAGGCCAGAACAACTGTGACATCAGGATACAGGCACTGGTTTCTGTATGTACGTGAATGAGGTCACCCCTGCCAGGGCACCAGAGTAGAGCAGACAGTAGCTGGGAAAATGGAGAGAAAGAAGGACCCTTTCTTCCGTATGGTTTTGGGGTACCCTGAGGAGATGTCTTGAAGACATGGGGAAGAAAGCATCAACAAAACAAGAAGTAGTCAGGCAGCAGTGGCGCGTGCCTTTAATCTCAGCACTCAGGAAGCAGAGGCAGGCGGATCACTGTGAGTTCAAGGCCAGTCTGGTCTACAAGAGCTAGTGCCAGGACAGGCTCCAAAGCTACAGAGAAACCCTGTCTCGAAAACCAAAACCAAACCAAACAAAGAGTCGGTGCTCTTACGCTCCCTCAGCAGAGCTGCACCAGCTGAAATTCTCAAAGAACTCTCCCAGGTAAAACAGGTGTCCCTGCACTCGGGTAGGGATGGGTGCCAGCTTCCACCTGCAATCCCAGCACTTGAGAGGCGGAGTCAGGAGCACTGAGCTCCCGGCATTGGTCTACAGGGCAGCTGGAGTGACCAACCACAAAAGGACCAGTTGTGTGCTGACACTGAGGGCAGCGCTGTGACAGACAAGTTCCCTGCAAGGGGCCGAGAGTGGGGAAAGGCCTCTGGTTTGGGGGATCAGGGAAGATACACGAAAGCTCCTCCTGGGCTTTAGGGTTCAAAGCTACTATGTTTGTTTTGTTTTTCAAGACAGGGTTGCTGTGTGGTCCTGGGACTTGCTTTATAGACCAGGCTGGTCTGGACTCAAAAGATCCATCTGCCTCCTGACTGATTAAAGGTGTGAACCAATATCACTTGGTTACATTTTAGAGGAAGGACCAGGTGGCCCCTCAAATGTGCCCATGTAGCTGCAGGACTCCATTCTGGGACCTCAGGTGACTGAGCCACCATCCCTGGAAACATGGCAAGGTAGATGATGCTACACCTTGGTGCCCAACAGTACCTATTTCTGCCTCCCCAAGTTCCCAGCAGCCCACTTGCCATTCTGTCCTCGAATGTCTTGACCATGATGCCATCGGGCAGCGAGGTGGCCAGCAGAGCCATCTCCTTTCGCACTGTGCTGAAGAACTTCTTGGCTTCTGGAGGCTGGAACTCAATCTTCTTGAAAGAGTGGTTTGCTGCAAGGAGACAACCGTCAGGCCCTGACCCGAAGCCCATCAGCTCCAGACAAACCCACACTGCCCTGGAGTATGGCTTGGATAGCTGCTGCTTGGGAGACTCTAGATGGTGAGGGAACCCAGGTGCTATCCCTTAGGGCAGGGGTAGGGAATCCTGGGGGCGGGGGGGGGGGCGAATGAGGAAGGACACCAGCCGTTCCTGCCGACTCACAGGGTGCAAACTCCAGCACAGAAAACACTTCGCCCTTGGCACTGGTAAAGGTGACACCGGGTTTGCCACCACACTGTTGACAGAGCACAGGAGTCTCACTGGGCCACTCGGCCTTCACTGGTGACTGTGCCTCTGTTTTCTCTTCCTTGCGTTCTGTGTCGGGCACCGCCTCCATCTTCTCCTCCTCAGCGATGGCCACGTTGTCAAGGGTCTTCTTGAGGTTCTCCTGTAGCTTCTTGATGTCGTCCAGAAACTTCTTCTCCCGAGTCGGCTTCTCCGGCTCCACCGTGGGTGAGGTGGGGGACCCTGTGAGCAGCTGCTCCACGGTCATGTTCTTGAGGCTCTCCAGGATCTTGATGGCTTCTTTCAGCTCCCGGAAACTCTTGGGAGGCCCGTCCTTGCCAGCTTTCTCCATCAGCCCTGCCACGGGAGCAGCCATGGCCACGGCTCCCTGGATGGCAGCTGTGGCTGCCTCTTCACTGATTACCACCCCCTTGTCCTCCTCAGGGGCTGCTGGCGGCTCTGTGGGGAGGATGGCGAGGTCTTCTACCTTGGGGTGCTCGTCATCCGCCAGCCCGTTGTCTGTCTCCCAGCTGTCGCTGTCGTCCTCCCACTCATCCGAGGACGCCCCACTGCTGCTGCCTTCTACCGAATCGTAGTCGGACTCCTCGATCTCGGACTCGATATTGTATAAGTGCTGGGGGCAGAAGACAACCATTCAGACACAGCTCTGGCCCCTTTTGCTCCTGTTAATGACTCACGGTGGCCTTGCTGATCCCTCCCCCTTCTCTGTTCTCAACTTTGCATCTGAAGTCCTGTCCATGCTACAAGATTCCAGTTCTCTGCAAGGGGTCCTGTGCCCACCTTCTACCCCAAGCTTTACACGAAGTTCAGTTAATGCGTGTGCCACCTTCTCTCAGGCTCTGTGCAGTGAGGGGCACAAGGGGAAGCCTCAGCAAAGCCAGCCCACCTCCAGGACGGGCTCCATCAGGAGCAAGTGGGTCACCTGATTGGCAGGTGAAGCAGGTGTTCTAAAGTTGATTACACTGTGCCCTGCTCTCCCCTAGAATGGCTGCCAAGGTGAGGGACAAGCCATTCTCTGCCTCCCTTGGCCTACCCTCTTGTGTGCACCAGGAAAGGAGAGTTGGACTATGGAGTCAGCTAAATATGGGAGAGGGAAAGGGGACCAGCTAGGGACAACTGAAATAAGGCCAGCTTTTTCTTGCCCTTCTGTATCTGTCAACAGTTATCCTAGAAACTGTGGCAGGAAAGACCCCACATGGCTCAACACAGTGTGTGGAGACTCTAGAGCAATCTAGAAGTTTGGGAACCTCACACCTCTGGGATCCAACCCTTGGAGCTAATGTGCGAAGACTAGAGAGCCACCTTCAGGGGCAGCGAGCAGTCGGGGAGGTTCTCGTCAATCTTACCTGCGGCAGGATGATGGTTTTTGAGTTGTCAGCCCACACCACTTCTACCTTGCTACTGACGTCAACTCGGGCCACTTGGCCCACTGATGGCTGAAGGGCAAAGGGGACAGAGTCAACTGGGTGGTAAGCTGTGAAGCCCCAGGTTCCCCATCCATGGCACCCACTTTCTGGCCGGGCAGCAAATACTAAGTGGCCTTTCCAAGACTGTACCAAGTCTTTCCCTGCAGGCACTGCTTTTACTTCCCTGGCTCGGCACTCTTCCCAGCGTGTGTATCCTGACTTCAGGGTTTGTTTCTGCCCTCTGTCTAGAATCTGTCTTGCCCTCTCCTAATATCCCTCCCCCTCTTTGCTCAAGGTCTGTCTCAAGTCCCATTTCCAAACCTGCGAAGACTCCGCTGCAGTTGACTGTGGTACTCACAGCTGCAACGGAGTGTAACCCCTCTAGGGAACAACTGGGCAGGGTCTAAGGGGCCCGAGTCCAGCAGGCGCCTGGGCTGCCTGTCTGTAATGCAGGCCATGTTGGCCATCCTGAGACACTGAGCTGTAAGACTTCCAGGTCTTATCTCCTGAAGCCAGCTGGTGGCAGTGTCAGGAAGCGCAGGCACTGCCCAGCACATGAACTTGGAGAGCACACCTACCTCATCCTCCTTGGGCAGAGCCCCATCCTCAGTGTTACCAATGCGAATGACAATGTCAGTCGTGCGGAAGCGAAAGTCAGGGTGGTCAGCAATGTCATAGACACTCACATCCTCCTCTTCTCCAATGAGCTGTAACATAAACCAAGCCAGCATGAGCCAGGTCCTCACCCCTTTCCCTGGAGCCCCCCGGAAAGAAACAGGTCTGCAAGCTCACCTCCACGTCATCCCCAGTCGGCCGCAGCTTAAACCATTTCACCATGCAGGTACGGCCAACATGGTCCCCAGATTGCACCACACCGTAGACAGCAGGGTCTGGGCAGCTCTGGACTAGGAAAACCAGAAGGGACGTGACTACCTGAGAAGCCCTGGGGGGGCCTGCCTACAACCACACAGGCTTCCCCAAGTCCCATCTCCACTGACCCCTGACCTTGTCCAGAGTGTCCCATTGACCACCCTGAGGCTTAGCACTACCTCGCTTGTCCACCACGAAGTCTCCAGGACAGAATTCATTGTTGTCCAGGTGGTGCACCGGGAAGAGGTCGTTGGAGCGGATGTTGCACTCCACAGAGCCATCCTGCCACATCACATCAGCTGAGGTCATCGTGGTTACGACCTCCACTGCCACCCTGCCAAGACAGGCCCGTGAGCCAGGCGACACAGATATGCTTCTTGGAGAGAGAGGAGCTGACCTTCCATCACTTCCAGGCCTACCTGAGTCTCAAGTGGGCAGGGTGAGAGTGTCCAGTGTGTCTAAAGCTTACCTGTGCCAAGCGTGACATTCTCTGGGGACAGCACCCATAGGGGAGAACTCAGGCAGCCACTACACTACACGTCAGCAGTCTGCCAAGCCTACCCTAGGCACCATCCCTGGGGATGGGAGCACCACGAGCTCCTGAGTACACGTGTGCGCTCTTTCCTGGGCCCTGGCTGGGCCCTGTAGGACAACGAACACCTGGAATTTACCTGTCTCCAGGCTTGAAGTCCCGGGTAATCTTATTCTTCTTCCTCTTGTGTTTACGTTTCAAGTTTTTGATGGACAAGGGAATACTCTTCTTACGACTGGCGCCACTGCCGCTCTGGGAGGAGGTGGTGGAGCTGGCGGAGGAGGTCACCGAGCTGGTGTCATCTGTATCGTCAGCAGCCTCGTCGTCTGCATCCTGCTCTGCCGAGTGCAGCCCATCATCTCCACCCTCCTTCAACAGGAAGGGGGGCAGCGGCTCGCTCGGCTCCTGAGGCTCCTCTACCCCCTCGTCCTGCATCTCCACTGGGCTGGCTGATCCATCAGGTTGCTCCTCGGGGCTAGGAGACCCTACTTCGCTCTTTGCTCTGGCTTCCTCTTTCTTGTCTGGGTCCTCCATGGAATGGTCCCTAGGACACTGGGTATCTGGGGCGCAGGACATGATCCTCACGACCTGCTTCTTCAACAGGCGCTTCACCTATGAGAGCAGAGCAAAGGCGAGACGGTTGTGGGGTGAGGCAGGCAGGGGCCCACCCTGGACCCAGGCATTTCTGTCTCTGGGGGTAGAGCTATAAACACCTAAGTGGCCAGCAAGGGTCCTCATGGCTGCCCCAAGGCCTAGAGCCCAGACCCACCTTGCTGGCTGCGGAAATGGCTCATGGCCAGTTCCATGAGTGCCCACACCCACCCGCCTCAAGGACATACCTTCTTGGCCATAGAGCCCTCCCCCTGGGCGCAGTTTTTTTCTGGACATTCCCAGGCAATCTTGGCCGGCTCTACCTTGGCTGGGAAGACATATAGACAGCGTTCCCCAAGCTGCCGCTGAGCATGGTCAAAGCATCCGAGACGCTTCACCCTGAAGAGAAAAAAATGGGAGCTTGGATGGACTTCTGAGAGGTCGGTGGGAGGCTTGGCCCTCTAATGCATTTATGGCCCCACCAAGACATGCCCGGGTGAGTTCCTGGGATTTGGGGGGTAGGGGCATGCTTACCTGCCTAGGTTTTCCTGAGTGATAACAGAAGGTGGGGGGCTAACGCTGTCCGTGCCCCCAGGGCAGAAACTCTTGGTAATCCATGTGACTTTCAACTCCACAACCTGAACCTGAGGACAGATGAGTGAGACAGGGGTGTAATCAGAGGTCGACTTTTTCAAGGCCTGCAGCAGCACATTCAGAAATACTGTGGCCACCCATGCATTAGGAGTCATGATCCCTCCACTCTCCTTGAACAGAGCAAGGGGAGGGTTTCTGCCAATCAGCTATCCCACAATAGAGCCTGGGCTGCCCCATGCCCAAACCCCTTTCAGGTCCCCAGGGTTTGGGTCCTGGGAGCAGGTAAATAGCTTAGCCCCAGGGCCTACAACTCAGCCCTCGCCCTACAGGTTATACCCTTACCTCCTCCACCACCACACGGAACTTGCTCTTGGTGCTGAGTACAGGCTTGACCCCTGAGAGCCACTGGACACTAGAGAAGATCTTAGCAGGGCCAATAAGCACTTGGCCTGGGTAGAAGCCATAGGAGTCATCAAAGAAGAGACCCTGAAGGGTTGGAGCAGAGGAAAATGCACCTGAGGAGGCCTCCTTAGCCAGGAGTGCTGTGCTTGCCTTGCAGGAGGCTCCCTGCAGCACAGTCTGCGGAGAATACTTTACAAGCCTGGTACAAACTGGGTGCCCAGGAATCATCAAAATGCAGCTGCAAACTGTTCTAGGCCTAACGGAGTCTCACGCACTGTGATTCTGGGGTCAGGATCAAAGCTCTAGGGAGAAGTGTGCACATACACCTGTGTAAACACACCCTAGTACACACTACCTCCATATGCTACTCTGCTGGCACATCTTGCTGACTAACTACTGACTGTACTGAAGGGCCACAGCACAGTGGCACACCTGAAATCCTAGCACTCAGGAGGTGGAGTTTTGTGTTGGAGGTTAGCCTGAACTACAGACTCTGTCTCAAAAAAACAAAAGGGGCTGGGGTGTTAAGAGCACTGGCTGCTCTTGCAGAGGACCCAAGTTTGGTTTCCAATACCAAACTTAAGGCTCACAATTACCTCTAATTCAGACCCCAGGGGATCTGATGCCTCTTCTTGCCTTCAAATACAACCACATTCTCTTTCTGATTCTCTCATAAAATAAATCTTAAAACACTCCCCACTCCACCCTCACTCAGCCAACCACCCAAATAAAACTAATACAACTATACTTCCTGCCCCTGCCCAGGCCTCCAGGTGCTCCCGGGCACACTGGCCCCATGCCTCACAATCCCTTGCCTAGGGCTTGGACAGTTTTCATGCCTAAGCAGGGAGCAACAGAGAAGGGGATATGTACCGAGTCACTGACGTGTGGGCAGACGTCGTAGAGTTTGGCACCATCTTCCGTGTTCATGGAGCACCTGAAACAGAGGACAGAGGCTTGGTTTCCACCAGGGCCAGAGGCACCAACCCACCACTTATCTTCCACCTCTGTAGCTCAGCCCAGCCCCACGTCGGCGTCTGCCACTGTTAGCACACGCAGAACAGAGCACCGACACTCAGACACGGAGATGAAGACATTTCACCAAGTTCAGATAGCCCCAAACCTGAGCTGTAGGAGAGAGATCAGAGTTAGCCCTGGGATACAGGTGCTGAATGCCAGCACCCATACTGTCCCGGACCACACCTGACCTCAGAGCTCCTGGAGATACTCCCTTGGAGCAAACAACCATCCCCAAACTGATACCTACCTGGCACCATTAGACAACTTAAGGATGATCTGATTCTTCAAGTCATAGACCTTCCCTAGCCAGCAGTCATAGGCGATGTAGTCTCCATACATGAAGGGCTGCAGACCAAGCATACAGGCAGTGAGCAAGGGCACAAGGCCTGGGATTTTCTTTACTATGCTAAGATGCAGAAGGAAGGTTCTCGACAATTGAATTGTGCTACATGCCAAGGCCCTTTCCAGTGAGTGGGCAGTAGTGTGTGGACTGCCCAGTAGGTGGGAGTGTCCCACAGTGGCAAAGGAGATAAAGCAAAGCTGGGAGGTCGGCGTGGTTGGGACGTGGGCTTTGTGGACAGTTAAGGCCTTGAAAAAAAAGGTCAATTCACCATGGACACTGAAGGCAGCATTCTCGCTGTTGAAAAAGTGCTCAGCAAACAGAAGCCAGCCAGACCAAAGGAGCTTCCTAGTGTGGGACAGTTAGAGCAAACATGTGATGAGGGAACTGTACTATGGAAACAGACCTCGAGTGCATAGCACATAAAAATGAGAAGGGAACAAACTGGGCAGTAGGTGCAGGTCTTCCACACAGAAGAATGCCAACCAACACAAACCTCAGATCATACCATGTGTGACAGTCGGAGTCACATTTAGGTGGCAACGTGCCCAAGGATAAGGCTTGCAGATGACTATCTATCTGAGGAACAGTTCCCTGGGGGAATATAACTACTCACTGAGGGTAATGGAAGGGGCTTTTACACATGGGGAGCGCTGTGCTGACCAACTTGACCCAAGTGCAGGGTACAGCTGCTGGACATAAAGCCCGGGGACAGCTGGGCAGGGCAGCAGGCTCTCATGTAGTGAGTCTGTCCATGAGACAACACCATGTACGAGCTGCTGAAGATGAAGGTCACAGTTCAGGATGACAGACTGGGGAGCATCCCAGATGGAAAACAAAGAACAAGCAAATGCCAGGTGTCTTCCTGAATGTGCTCAGGGCCCACATGGAAGGAAGGACATAGCTGGGATGACTGAGCAGTCTAAGCTTAGGTAGAAAGGGGTCACCGGTGACCCCTTATCTAGTGGCTGCACCCAGATCTCTGGAAAGCATCAATTCAGTGAGCAGGGGTGCTGGGCAGCCCTCTTTCTAACGGTTTGGGAGATAAATGGCTGGAGTGAGCGGCAGAGGCTAAGAGCTGCAGACACTGGAGAAGTGGGCGCATGAACTTTAGCACTTTTGGCTAAGTCTAAAATCATTTAAAAATATATTATTAAAAAGAAACCTGTTTGTTGTTACTTATCTTTATCTGCTGAATGTGTGTGTGTGCCATCATATGTGCCTGGTGCTCGCAGGGGTCAAAGGACTGAGTTGAACCTCACTAAAACCACAGGTCCTCAGTACGGACAAGTTCTCATAAGTCTAGAGAGATGGCTCAGCAGTTAAGAGCAGTGACTGCTTTTGCTGAGGACCTGGGTTTCATTCCCAGCACCCACATGGCAGCTCATAACTATCTATAACTCCAGTTCCAGGGGATCCAAACATACTTTCTGATATCAGACATGTAAGTGATAGAGACCATACGCAGGCAAAACAACCCCACACATAAACGTCAGTGTTAGGTGAGAAAACAAAATAACTACATTCAGTGATTTACTCTGATGCCGGGGAAGAGCACACCCTGACCTCATGTCTAACAGCTCACTTGCAAGGGCAGCACCGAGGATGCCATGAGCAGGCTGGCCGCAGCGAACAAGCACTGTGTTATCTGACTGACCTAGCAGGATATGCTTGGCAGGAGCAGCACAGATGTCATACGGCCAAGACCAGAGCCACCTACCCAGATGTGCTGGAGATCCTTGCTGTTGACAGGGTAGATGATGCAGTTGGTGCCAATTAGCTTGACAGCACAGTCGATATTGACGTCTATCACCGTGCCACACTGACTGTCCTAGGGGAGGGAGAAAATATCCCACAAGGCTGCCATGGCACACCCCACCCAGACAGTCCCAAGAGCCCCTCCCTCCCCAGCCAGGCAGGAGTGGGAGCAGACAGGCTGAAGACTCAGGATGGGATGGGGACGAGAGACTCACAGTTGAACGCATGTGGCGGACCACATCCCGGGGCACCACAGAGCGGTCCTCCAGCTTCAGCTGTAGAGAAGATGAGACAGGCATGAAAGCAGCAGGTCTGCAGGCAGAGTGCACTCTACCTAAGGTTAAGCTCATTCTACAAAAGCAAACATCCCAGTGAGTTAAATTCTTCTCCCAGGGCCTGCCCTCTGACCCTGGGTGATCCGTGCTCAGGACGAGGTGGGGCTGGCATAACACTGGGCTGTGGCTGGCACCCTGAAACCAGCTATCACTGGACACCACTCTTCTAATCTGGGTACCCTGCCTGCCCAGCTGCAGTATGTTCCTTATCTGTAGCACTGCAGAGCCTGCCCTGGATTCATGCGAACCCCAGCAACACCATCTACTGGTACCACGCTGCTGGATGGACTCCAAGAGCCCAGGCAGAGCTGGTTCTCTGCCAGGCTAGTTTGTCTCCTCTGTTCTTGGGTCTCTAAATCTCAACTGCTCCTCTACCACCTCTCAGCAACCTCTTAGCTAACCTCTAAGCTCTGCATCTCCCCTGCTCAAAAATGGCAACCACACACTAGGAACCCAGTACCCCCAGTAAAGGCCTCTCCTCTCTCAGCCGTGAAAGGTGACTGCCAGAGAGCAAGTCAGGATGCTGAAAAGGATGATTCTAGCACTAGGTTACAGAACTTTTAGCAAGGACAACTAAAGCAAACTCCAGAAGTTGGGCGGCTTTGACTCCAATGAAAGCAGTGAGCCTCACCATGAAGCGGGACTGCATAGATTCCCACAGCGACCTAGGACCAGCCCCAGACAGCAACAGCCTTGTGACTGTGTTAAGAAACATCAGTCTGCTGTCTACACGTACACACGGCACCTCAGCAGCCAGCGCTGGGTACCTGGGCCAGGATCTAGGAGGCCACAAAGAAAGCACCGCTGGCACACGTTCACACAGCTGCTGCCTGACTCCCTGGCCCCTAGGGACACAGGCCGAGATAGCAAAAGGTTCTGCTTCAAGGCTGTGAGGGTATGTGGAGAGACCAGCGCCCCTTTTTAACTGTAAAGATATTTTGTGCTGCCCCACCCTGCCTCAACTGCCCCTCTTAGCTTAAATGTTATAAAACCAACTAGGGACCTAAGTCATAAAAACCAGAAGCTGTATCTGGAAAATTCAAGAGGCAGAGGGTCCTTGAGAAAAGCTTCAAGCTGAATCTTTAGGTCATGTTCCTAGTGGCCTTTCTGAGGTCCAGGGACTGCCAGAGAGAAGGGGAGGCCTACACATGTACAGGCATTCACTGGCATGACCTCATACAGGGCACACGAAATGGAGACCCCCCCCAGCCTAAGGCTGAAGCAGAGACCCTGTACCAGGAGGGATCCTATAGGAGGGTGACTCCCCCGTGCCTCTCGGCTCAGTGTGGCTCTCCACCTGGAAGCTGTCCTCAGCTCTTCTGATCCAGCCATTACTCTGCAGGCACTCGAGCAGAATGGAGGGAGACAATGAGGAAGGAACGGGGGTTATCATGTACTACTACTCTCTTGGCCTTGCATCGCCCTCTGTGACTTCCCTCCCCAAACGCGCCTGTATTCTGCAGCAGCACCACACTGTTCCACCCAATGCTCGTCCCCTCCTTCCTTTTCCCAGCCTAGGCTGTTTCTTAAAGCCCTCAAAGTTCCCATTACGTGAGGATCTGCTGTGCTCTGAGAGCTTCCTCTGCTCTACACTATAGGTCCAGGCTGCTTTCTGGACACCCCTGAGGACAACTCCGTGAAGTACACATTACCACTCCCACCCCCACCGTCATCAACATTTTTACAGGTAAGCAGACAGGAAAAGCTACTCGTTCAAGGTCACAGCTCAGAGAAGCTGGATCCCGGAGCAGAGATTTCCCCTCCCATTCTGAAAGGTCATGTACTGAAGTCACAGGTGCCAGACATCACCAGGATTGACACCAGATTGCACTGTGCTGCACGGCACCTGCTTAAGTTGAAAAGGAGATTCTACCACAAAACTAGAGCTGTAAAATAAAAACTCAAGTTCCTGCCACCTCCAAGGAGTGCCCTGAGTGTTGCCATCACGACAATGTCACCAGAACCAGAGTTGAGAGGGTACCTATCGATTTTAACTGTCATAGCCTCTAAAATGCTCAGCAACTCAGAGCTGGCCAGCTAATGTTTAGCATTTCCTGGAAAGCTTTGGTGAACAGACATTTTGGAACAGCAGGAGAGAAGTGGGAGGAGTCAGGGATGGTGTGAAATAAATATGGGTTACTCTGGGTACACGTAATGGAGCAGGGCAAGGGGCAGCAGTCTCATTGCCTCCTCTGAAAACGACTCAGGGCCACGCTGTGGAGGATGCCAGGCCGGCTTTAAGGTGTCCACTGTCCAGACAACACTGATGCTGTCCAAGCATCTGCGTCCAGCCTCTGCTCTAACTGGCAGCGAGGGAAGCGGAGCAGACACAGGTCAGGTCATATTCAAAATCCAACATGGGGGTTTCCAGGGGTCACTCTGAGATGACATCTGCCACAGACCTGGGTAAGACAGTGAGCTTCCCAGAGATAAAAGCAGTCTTATAGGTGCTGGGCAGTGACTAGAGGCTGAAAGTCCATCCTGAGCAAGACAGAAGTCCCTGTGGGCCCTAAGCCAAGGTAACATACTGAGACCATCTGCTGACTGGCAAGGAAAGAACTGGGTCTGTGATTTTCAACTGGGAGCAACTCTGTCTTCTCCCCCAGGGACATTTGGGAATGGCTGGTAATATTCCAGGCTGTCACACATGGCAGAGGCATTAAGGCCAAGGTTTGCTGTGCATCTTACAATGCAAAGGACAGCTCCTACCACAAGAATGACTGGCCAGAGAATCAGCAGTACCCAAGCTCAGGACACCAGAAACAAGGTGGGGCAAAGATCATCTCTACTACATCAACCTCATCCCCCCCCAACCCCTCCCCACCCTGCCTTGAAGTCAGTGTCTCATTGAGGAGTTTTGGCCAGCCTGGAATTGACCAGACTGACCTCAAATGCAGAGGGCTATTTGCCTCTGCCTTTCATGCTGAGATTAACACTATGTGGAACCCCCCCCCTTTTTAAAGTGACATAAAAACTATATATCTGGCCAGTGGTGGCACACGCCTTTAATCCCAGCACCTGGGAGGCAGAGGTGAGCAGATCTCTGAGTTCAAGGTCAGTCTGGTCTACAAGGACAAGTTCCAGGACAGCCAGGACTGCTGTACAGGGAAACCCTGTCTTGAAACAACAACAACAACAACAACAACAAAAAACCCAAAACTCAACACAACTATACTCGGCGAGGAGACGGCTCAGTGGGGAAAGTGCCTGCTGTGTCAGACTCTCAGCCCCACACAGAAGTCAGGTGCAGCAGGGTCTGTGACCCAACCTGGGGAGGGGTCAAGAACAGAGAGAAGTGGACCCTCAGACTCCTTGGTCAGTCAGTCTAGACAGAGCAAATGCTCCAGATTCAGTGAAACAACACACGGGGGCGCTGATGAGCTGGCTTGGGCTCGGGCACTTGTCACCCTGACAACTGGAGACCACCCCCATATTCCACACGGTACAGGAGACCCAGTCCTTGAAAGGTGTCTTCCGACTGTCACAGAAGTGCCATGGTACATTTGCTCCCCACGCACAAATACACGAACATGGCTAAACAAACACAAATAAATAAATAAGGAAGAGGATCAATTATAATGGCACTTGCCACCAAGTCTGACACCCTGATTGGAAGCCAGATGGTAGCCGAGAACTGACTCCCACAGGTGTCCTCTGACCTCTACACATCCATCATTATACAAGCACCCATACAGACTAAATATAATTGAAAGCTATAAAATTTTATTTATTGGTTTTTCAAGACAGGGTTTCTCTGTAGCTTTGGAGACTGTTTTGGAACTCACTCTGTAGACCAGGTTGGCCTTGAAGGCACAGAGATCCTACTGCCTCTGCCTCCCGAGTGCTGGGATTAAAGGTGTGCATCACCATCACCCAGATTTTAATATTTATGTGTATCTGTGTTTCTGTGCATACATGTGTGCCCATGGAGACCAGAAGAGGATGTTCAATCACTTGGAACTGGAATTATAGGCAGTTTTGAGTTGCCTGACATGGGTACTAAAAACCATATTCAGCTTCTCTGGAAAAAGCCATCACTCTTAAGGGCTGAGCCATTTCTGCAGCCGATTTTACCTAAAAAACAAAAATAAAAATTCGTAGGGCTCCCCAGTACCACATGGCAGATCACAACCATAATTCCAGTTCCAGGGGATCCAACAGCTCTGGCTTCCTGGGCAGGGCACTACACACAAGTGGTGTGCATGTAGGCAAAGCAAACATAAAAAACAATAACAAATAAACAAGACAGAATGACAAAGGAGGACCTGACACTGACCTCCAGCTCCACAGGCACAGGCAGGGACAAGTGAGCCCCCCTCCCCGCCACACACACAAGGGCACAAACGGTGAGGGAAGGCAGAGGCCAGCAGTCCCAGGGAGAAGGCACTGCTGTAGAGTGTGCAGCTCTGTCCTCCCCGATCTGGGCCCATCTGCTGTAGAGGCCATTCCTCGAACTGCCTCCCTGGGCTGCACTTCTGCACATGAGCTGTCCTGCTCCCAGTCTAGAAGCTCATCCACAAAACTGATCTTGGTCGACCAAGACTAAAATACTCCAAGAGTAAGAGGCTGAAAACAGAAGAAAGCTAAAGAAAGACAGCTCAACTAACGGGGATCCTCAAACAAGGCGGAGCTGTCTGAAGGCCACAGGAAGGGTTATTTAAAACTTTTAATTTTAATTATGTGCATATGAGTACATCTGTGCGTGGGCATGTGCACATGAGCCCTGGAGCTATAGTTATAGGCAGTCCTAAGCCATCTGACATCAACGCTGGGAACCAAACCTGGACCCTCTGCAAGAGCCATCTCTCCAGCCCCGATGTATGTCTCAGGAAGAGGAGGCACCAGCCACACTACTGTCACTGTCACAATGAGGAAGTGACTGCGCCTCAGGTCTCAGATGTCCCAGATTTCCTGGGGGCAGGAAGGCCCAGCACCAGTCAGGTCTTACACAGGATAAACAGTATCCCTGGGGAGTGGAGAGACAGCGACAGTTTACAGCAGACCCTGTTCTGGATTTGTGTTCAAAGAGAGAGGTTCCCCACCCCTGAATGAACTAGGCCACACAGAGATTGAAGTTATTTACCTGGCCAAAACTCCAACCAGATCCCTGAAGGGA